GAAAACACATTATTATACCATACCGTGGAAGGCGAGTCATTACCTTATAATATAAAACGCCTGTAACTATAGATGGCCTGAGAAAGAACCGTATTTTAGCCGGACTATGTTGTAGAGTAATCGTCTAGCATACGTAATAAGAATGAGAGAGAGAGAGAGGGGGATCTCTCTCTCTCTGGGTGACTCTCCTGCCAGGGGTATATATACTATTACTGCTGATGGTGGCCTAAGAGCAAAGGTGTTTTATCTTGATTCTGGCTACCCTATCGACGTAACGGGAAGGGGCAGCCATGCTAGAGAGAGAGAGATGATGGAATAAGGAGAAGAGGAATAAGAGGAAGGAGGTGGTGATACAGGTATATAATTTTGTATTTTATTAAAGACTGTCTATTATACTGCCACGATGACACGTATTAATTGGTCTTATTGTTTTAGGAAGCTGCCACAAGACCATGAAGCACCGTTTAATAGGTCTTTAAGTTTTAGGACCACTAACTAGGTCTTAGTTTTAATTAAGGTGCTTCAACTACCACAGGAACATGAAGCACCGTTTAATAGGTCTTCGTTCGGGCAAAGAATTCTCCGAGTGGTATTTCTCCACCTGAGTATCAACTAAGTCTTAAAACCAGACCTTTAGAGAATTATATCGATATGTTTCTATTTTTTTTTACTGTTATCTCATTCGGAAAACTCTAGAGGGAAGGGAGGAGGAGGAAGGGAGGGTAGGAGGATAGGGAGGGTGGGATAGGGAGGGGAGGGGGAGGGAGGACCAGGGCACCAAGACCAGCTACTGTGATATCAACGTTTTTTTGTTGAGGTAAATATAATCTTTATTTAGAGGGTTGCTACCTGTAGGGTTAACATTAATCCAACCAGACAACCCAACCAACTAACATTCTCTCTCTCTATCTCTTCAGCCCAGCCCCTACCTTCTTCCTTCTCTCCCCCCCCCTCTCACCCTCCCCACCCCATCTTTACCTCTTAGATAACTTAGTCTTTCTGTTTTTCTTGTTCGTTGTTTTTTTTACTTTCTTTCCATTTTTTCTATCTATCTGTCATCCTGATTTCTCCATTTATTCAATTATTTTTCTCTCTCTCTCTCTTCTTCTTCTCTCGATTTTTTTCTCTTTCTCTTCCCTAATTATTGCACCTCTTGATTATCCTCTCCATCACCTAATAATAATATAATAATAATAATAATAAAGATTTTTAACAATAAACATAAACATTAGAATAATAGAACACACACACACACACACACACACACACACACACACACACACACACACACACATACACACACACACACACACAAAACATAATAGAAAAGAATAAAAAAAACACTCAGTACATCATGAAGGTAACATCAAAACACCCAGAGTTTCAGTAATAAAACATTATCGTAAACAAAAAAACACACACAAGAATATCAAACACAGGAGATAAAACAACCGAAATAAAACGAGAGAGAGAGAGAGAGAGAGAGAGAACACACACTGATACAAGCAACATGGGTAGGAGCACCTCTCTCTCTCTCTCTCTCTCTCTCTCTCTCTCTCTCTCTCTCTAACAAACAGTACACACCACCACAATACCTCTCCTAACACAAACACTACTCTATAACACTATCACAAACACTTCTCTATAACACCAACACAAACACTTCTCTCTATTCCAACACAAACCTTCTCTATAACACCATCACAAACACTTCTCTATAAACATAACACAAACACTTCTCTATAACACCAGCACTTCTCTATAACACCAACACAAACACTTAACTATAACACCAACACTTCTCTATAACAATAACACTTCACTATAACACCAACACAAACATTCTCTATAACACAAACACTTCTATAACACCAACACAAACACTTCTCTATAACACCAACAACTATCTATAACACCAACACTTCTCTATAACACCAACACTCTATAACACTAACACTTCTATAACACCAACACAAACATTCTGTAACATAACTTAACAGCTCTATATACACAAACACTAACAACACCAACACAAACACCAACTATAACACCTTCTACAAACACTTCTCTTATAACACCAACACAAACACTTACTATAAACATCAACACCAAACACTATACTATAACACAAACAACTACTTTATAACACCAACACAAACACTTCTCTATAACACCAACACAAACACTTACTATAACACAGACACAAACACTCTCACAAAACACAAACAACTCTCTATAACACAAACATCTATATAACACCAACACAGACAACTACTATAACACCATCCAAGCACAACTATAACACCAACAGCTACTTAACACCAACTGACACCTCACTATAACACCGACACCAACATCTTCTATAACACCAACACAAATACTATGGTAACACAAACAACATCTATAACACCAACACAAACAATTCACTATAACACCATCACCAAACTGCCAACTATAACACCCACTGTAACCAACACAAACACTTTACTATAACACCATCACAAACCACTTCTCTATAACACCAACACAAAAACACTTCACTAACACCAACACAAACACTTTCTATAACACCAACACAAACACTTCTCTTATAATACCAACACTTCACTATAACACCAACACTTCACTATAACCCAACACAAACACTTCACTCACAATCAACACAAACACTTCTCTATAACACCAACACAAAACTCCACTATACCAACACCAACACTTCTCTATAACACCAACACAAACACACTATAACACCAACAAACACTTTATACACCATCACAAACACTTCTTCTATAACAACCAACACAAACATCATAACAATCACAACACAAACACTTCACTATAACACCAACACAAACACTTTATAACACCAACACAAACACTTCTATAACACCAACACTTCTATAACACCAACACAAACACTTCATTATAACACCATCACCAACACTTCTATACAACTACAAACACTTCTATAACACTTTATATCACAAACACTTTCTATAACACCAACACAAAAACTTCACTATACACCATCACAAACACTTCTATAACATCAACACAAACACTTCACTATAACACCAACACTTCTCTATAACACCAACACAAACACTTTTCTATAACACAAACACTTCACTATAACACTAACACAAACACTTTCTATAACACCAACACAAACACTTCTATAACACCAACACTTCTATAACACCAACAATTCACTATAACACAAACACTTCTCCACGACACCAACACTTATAACACCAACACTTTATAACACCAACACAAACACTTCTATAACACAAACATTTATAACACAAACATTTCTCATAACACCAACACTTCTATAACACCAACACTTCTATAACACAATACAAACACTCTACTCTAACACAACACTTATTATAACACAAACACTTCTCTCTATAACACCAACACTTATAAACACCAAACAAACACTTCATAACACCAACACAAACACTTCACTATAACACCATCATAAACATTTCTATAACACCAACATACTATAACACCAACACAAACACTGCACTATAACACCAACACAAACACTTCACTATAACACCATCACAAACACTTCACTATAACACCAACACAAATATATAAATCTCTCTATAACACAAACATCACTATAACACAAAATACTCAATATAACACAAACACTTCTCTATAACACCAACACTTCTATATAACACCAACACTTCTCTATAACACTATGAAACACAAACCCATCAACAAAAACAATACCAAACAACAAACACACAAACACCACAGCAATCACAACAAGAACACCAGTAACAAACACACTAGACTCAATAACATCAACACCACAACAAAAACAATTAAATACAACAATAAAAAAAAAATTACCATACAATCATACAATTAGTCGGATACTGTAAGGTTTCGTGCTTACCTCTTTGTTTGTGTATGGTTGTAGTGTTATGGTAGATGGTAGATAAGTATGGTTGTGGGAGGGTGTATATGGTACCATTTGAGAATTTATTTTGTATATAGATAATGTTGTAAAGGTTTAGAGAGCTACAGAGTGTGGGTTTGACTGGCTGTGGGTTTGACTGGCTGTGGGTTTGACTGGCTGTGGGTTTGACTGGCTGTGGGTTTGACTGGCTGTGGGTTTGACTGGCTGTGGGTTTGACTGGCTGTGGGTTTGACTGGCTGTGGGTTTGACTGGCTGTGAGGATGACTGCCTATGGAGGGCGGGGGGGGTGAAAGGTTTAACGCATAGCATGAGTTGACCAGTGAGGAAGAAGAGGGGTGGGGGAGGAAAGGGAGGGGAGGAGGGGGAGAGGGGGTCATAACATAGATGGGTAGACTGTCGGTAGAGAAGGGCTCACACCATAACACAGGGGAAGGGGGGGGGGGTAGGGGTAGTGGATGACTATAGAAAAAGAAAACAATAGGGAGTCACAGCCAAGATAAAGTCGACCAGATGTTGTAAAAATGTCACATGATGAGGCGTTGACAGGAGGTGACCAGCGCATCGTATACCAAGACGTGTTGAGGTTATGGTGGATATATAGAAAGATGTATCAGACTATGAGAGAAATGATGATGATGATGATGATGATGATGATGATGATGATGATGATGATGATGATGATGATGCTTATAATATCAGTAATGTCCGCGCCACCATACACCCATCCTCCATGGCTCGCGATCCTCAGCTATAAATGTATGCATGTACATCACCAAGGACACGATGGTTGAAACGTCTCCCTCATCCCAACACCGCATTATCCCCCACCACCTTCAGAGAGTGAGCTTCCTGGAACACATTAATATCACCACCACCACCACCACCACAACAACAACACAAAACACTTCGCCGCAGACACACGGCGGGCTTCTCCTTCCTCTCTGGTCAGCACCTTCACGTAACCCACACGTACAATATCCAATCCTTGAGAGAGAGAGAGAGAGACACACACAAAATGGAAGAAGGCAAGAAGAATGGCAGTCCAACTCACATATTCGCTTCTTCCAAGAGTATCCACACCTACACACTGTTAATGTTCTTTCTGTCTCGTATCCTGATTCGCACATGTCACATCCTAACACCACAGTCTTGCCACTAACTGTAGGAGAGTACAATTTCGGTCGTATTCTCAATTTCGTCCCTCGATCACGATACATATTCACTCTACGACTGTACCAGCAACACTAAAGTCTTTAGGCAGGGGCCCCTCAATGGCATCCGAGGAGAGTTGTCAGTGGCCGCCAGATACCCGAGACGTTTGACCATGCACACATGACGTTCATCTCAAAGGTTGCTGACTCATTTTTATTTATACTTTATGTACAGTCTTATACAAAAGTATTAACCGATATGATGACTCTCCCAGTAAACACCGTCTCACAGGGTATATCTGAACGCCTAAAATGTTATAACTGGCATCAATACTCTCGGCGGGAATGGAGGTTGGGTGTCCACGCTAGCATTTACCATACAAATGTGAAACTCAAATTGTGCGCATTTAGAGAAAGCCCCCGTGTTTGACAGATAAACACGATCTGAATATTTCACCTGTAATCAAAAACGGCACCTCTACCTAACCACAGAGGGCCACACAACAAAGGACTTTCAGTACAGATATCCTTAAAAGCTTGGCGAAGTGGGATCACGTGAGAGAGAGAGAGGAGGAGGAAAAGAGAGAGAGAGAGAGAGAGACAGAGAGGGCGAGCAGAGCGAGAAAGAGAGAGAGCTCAGCTATGGACACAAACAAGGCCCTCACTTTAGCAGGAAGCACCTCACCCACACACTCACACAGCCGCTACACACTCTCACTGTCCACACATCACCACCATAACTCGCATTCTCACCAAGAAAGCGAAGGCGGCAATAACATATGGAACACCAACAGGGGTTCCTCTAGCAGCCCAGGAGGACGGGTGGTGGTGGAGGTGCAGGGGAGGGGAAGAGGAGGAGGAGGAGGAGGAGGAGAGGAAGAAGGCGAGACAGGAATGGCCAGACAAAAATATTATCCCTGGAAATCGTTCTCATGCTTTTCATATGAGCGTTGTGAAGGGCTGTGCTGTTTTGTGAGGAAAGGGGTTATTTTCTCCCATTACACGATACTGAGTGAACCCAATGGTCTTGTGTAGCAGAGAGGAGGAGGAGGAGGAGGAGGAGGAGGAGGAGATGAAGAAGGAGGAGGAGGAGGAGGAGGAGATGAAGAAGGAGGAGGAGGAGGAGGAGGAGGAGGAGGAGAGAGATGAAGAAGGAGGAGGAGGAGGAGGAACATGCACCTGCACACCATCACAAATATAAATCGACTTTTTCAATCCACTTTTCCTTACTCCACCATCAGGTACGAACAGAGAGGTGTGAGGGCGAGAGGTGTGAGGGCGAGAGGTGTGGGAGGGGAGAGTGTGTGGGGGAGAGTGAGGGGGGAGAGGTGTGAGGGGGAGAGTGTGTGAGGGGAGAGGTGGGGGAGGGGGGAGGTGAGGGGGAGAGTGTGTGAGGCGAGGTGAGGGGGAGAGTGTGTGAGGGGAAGAGTGTGTGAGGGGAGAGTGTGTGTGTGCGTACGAGAGAGTGTGTAAGCGACAGAGTGTGTGTGTGTGTGTGCGAGTGTGTGAGCGAGAGTGTGTGTAAGCGAGAGAGTGTGTGTGTGTGAGCGAGAGTGTGTGAGCAAGAGAGTGTGTGTGCATGCGAGATATATCAAATGCCGGTACAGTACATAAACGCACAGACACACATTAATACACAGGTTATGCTTTACACTGCCATGATAATTCTGTACTGTAATTTGACGGGCTGGGAAACACGCGATCAACTGAAGATTAAGCACCCCTCCCCCCTACAATATGCCTGATGATTAAAAACACCTAACGGTACCTGAGGGAGTTAGTGTTAGGTTAGGTTAGTGTTAGGTTAGGTTAGTGTTAGGTTAGGTTAGTGTTAGGTTAGGTTAGTGTTAGGTTAGGTTAGTGTTAGGTTAGGTTAGGTTAGTGTTGTGAGTTAGTTAGGTTAGGTTAGGTTAGTGTTAGGTTAGGCTAGTGTTAGGTTAGGTTAGGTTAGAGTTAGTGTTGGGTTAGGTTAGGTTAGGTGATATAAGATGGGGTGCCTAATCTCAGGTGATCCGACACACGTAGATGAGAATGTTCGCTAATAACCTAACCTAACCTAACCTAACCTAACCTAACCTTATCGTATCCATAACGTGTCCAGGGTCTTTATTACCTCAGTCCAAGTCTTTTCTCCACCCCCACCTCACTACTCTCCCCCCCTTCTCCCTCACCCCTCCCTCACCACTGCCTTCCAAATTATCTCTGATCGATTTTCAAGACTCTTCATACATACAGACAAACAGACAGTTCACACACAACACACACACACACAGAAACGCACATAGCATCTCTCTCTCTCCTCGGGGCACGCGGCAGAACAGTTCCCACACACGGTGAGTCGGTATGGTATCGGATAGTGGTAGTGATGGTGGTGGTAATGGTAATAATGGTGGTGATGGTGATTGTGGTGTTGGGGATAATGGTGGCGGTGAAGGGGATAATGGTGATGGTGGTAAGACTAATGGTGGTAGTGGTGGTGATGGGGATAATGGTGGTGGTGGTGGTAATGGTGGTGATAATGGTGGTGGAAGTAGTGGTGCTGGAGGGTAGGTACTCGCGATCATTACTTGTACCTGCGTTGAAATTCCCGAAATATAATTCTCCGCTCGAATCTTCGTTGAAAATTACCACCGTCGGCATTTTTTTTTGTGGTCCAGAAGGGTTTAAAATACGAGTTAACCTGTCGGAATTTTCCCACGGGTATTTTTTCCTCTTTGTTATTATATTAAAATTCTCAAATTCTCTCTTAACAGTTAAATCCCTTGTTAGAATTTTCACCTTTTTTTATTAATTTTTGATAGTTTTGTCCAAATTGGTATTTACAGAGTGACATTTTACTTCAATTCTCGGGTGGAATTTAATGAATTTTTATTATTATTTTATATTTTATTTACTGCTATCCCCTGTTGGATTTTTTTTACCCGTTAGATAGTTCTCCTGTTGGGGTTCTGTTGTGAAGGTAGAAATTAACGGTTCTTTCCCTGTTCGTCTTTCCCCCGTTGAGAATTTACTGACGTTGGTGTAAAATGCTCTGAGAATTTGTGTGTGTGTGTGTGTGTGTGTGTGTGTGTGTGTGTGTGTGTGTGTGTTTGCTATCGTCACAACCATAACCACTACCATTTCTACCCCCACCACCACTATCAACCCCATTACTACCACTACTACCACCACTACTACCGCCACCACTACCACAACTACCCTCCCCTCCTCCTTTCTTAGTAAAAACGTTTGTCCTTGCTAATAGTGGTGGTGACTTTGGCATGATCATCATCGTTCCACTACCCCATGCCCACCACTCCCCTGCCACTACCCCCATACCCACTACCCCTTGCCACTACCCCCATGCCCATCACACCACACTACCCCTTCCACACTACCCCATACCACTACCTGCCACTACCCCATACCAAAACTACACCACAGCTGCCCAAAATTTCTAAAATTCAGATAGTTTGTTTATATACAGGTATATATGTGTGTGTGTGTGTGCAGTATATACGAGAGGAGGTACCTAACATTATGCAGTTCTCACACACACACACACACACACACACACACACACACACACACACACACACACACACACACACACACACACACACACACACACACACACACACACACACACACACTTTACTCCCCTCACACAATAATAATTAACGACTTATCTCCCACAAATGAAGTCACAAACAGAACAAGATAACCATTTAATTCAGCCAAGACAAGTTAAAAAAAAATGACTTCAGAATTACCTAAATACATCTTAGTCTCTTTTAAGTCAATTTTATTTTATTTATTTTATTTATTCAGAATAACTTTGAGGAGAATAATATTGCTCAAAAGTTACTTATCTACTAATTCTTAAATACAATAAATAATAGTTACATGTTAATTTTTTTTTTTAGGTCTTTTAATCGTATATATATCTCGTTGCTGTTATTAAAACCCGTTTCTTTTTTGTTTTTGTTTCATGTTGGATGATACGACAACTTGACGTTTTGGGGTTCGGTCTTTGGGGGTCGTAAACATCAAGAGCGCTGCAAGAACCAAACAAAACTAACCAGATCTATGTGTTACAATATCTCGTTCATGAGACTTAAAGCCAGGCGTGATATCTTTTCTTCTTTCATTCTTTTCTTTTCTTTACTAACCAGTTCTGTGTTATAAGATCTCTCTCTCACTCTTTTCTTTCTTTTCTTCTTTATCTCCTGGTGGGGGAGTGCGGACTGGTAACACTACACCATGTCTTCCCCGACGGAGCCTTACAGAGGTGACCAATCAGCGCGATAATCAAGATACCTCGAAATTCGTTCCCGGATATTCATAATTTTCGACCTACAATTTCATATTTTTGGGAAACGGGATTAATTTTTTTTTAGCTAATGTCGATAATATTTTTTTTTAATGTGGTTTAGAAAAAAAAATAATACTGTCGTGTTTTTTTCTGTTTTACCTGAAGAAAAAAACGACAACAATACCAACAAAAACAACTACAACAACAACAACTACAACACCACCACCACCACCACCACCAACAACAACACCACCACCAACAACACCACCACCACCACCACCAACAACAACACTCACCACCACACCAACACACACCACCACCACCACCAACAACACCACCACCACCACCAACAACACCAACAACACTGCACTAATTACCACCACCACCAACAACACACCACCACCACCACCACCACCACCAACAACACCACCACCACCACCACTAACAACACCACCACCACCACCAACAACAACACTACCACCACCACCACCACAACAACAACACCACCACCACCAACACCAACAACACCAACACCACCACCACCAACAACAACACCAACCACCACCACCACCAACAACAACAACAACAACAATAAACAACACCACACCACCACCAACAACAACAACAACAACAACACCAACAACAATACAAACACCACTAACAACAATAACACCACACTAACAACAACACCACTACCACCACACCAACAATACTATACCACCAATAACAACACTACCAACAACAACAACTACAACAACAAATAAATAACAATAACCACCACATTAACAACAACACAA